GGGAAGTTCTATACCAAAGGCAGTGAGCTTAGACACAAGGTCTTGTTGAGAACAAAAGTTCTTTAGTTGGGAAAGGAAAGAAAAAAGTAATTGAATTCAAGAGCCAGAACCACTATGTTACAAAGAGGGAGGGCCACTTTGAATGGTACCTAAATCTTGAGACAGAAAAAGGTAGCTAGTGTCCTGAGTTGATTCAGATGGAAAAGTCAGACTTTGGGGGGTCACCTCATCACAGTGGTTTTAGGGTTTTGTACATGTATTTGATGCTCTTCAAGTGGTGACATAAGATGATTTTGTTAAAAAACAAACTATAGTTCAGGAACCAGTAGATGGTGTAGTGGTTACATTGCTGGACTCCCACATGGTCAACTGCAGTTTGAGTCCCAGATCCAGTGGCTTAAAAATCATAGTCGGTGCCTGTGTATGCCTGCCCAAAATCCCAGGAGGAGAAGGGATTGCAGTGTGGCCAACCCCTCCTTGGGGGGGGTCATTTCTCACTTTTCCTCCTACTGTTTCTGTCTTTCTCCCTCTCTCTCTCTCTCTCCCCCCATACCCCAAGTGAGCACACGTCCTAAAGCCAAAAAAAAAAAAATTCTTAAAAAAATTACAGTTAAATACATTCAAGTAAATTCAGAGATTAAATTAAATTTGGGACATTGCATTCTGTTGCCTATTCTTAGCTTTATAATTTGTAATGTCTTTACATCCCCAAGTGTAGGGCCATGCACCCACACAGAATGCCATTTTCTGAAATCATGACTTCAATTTAATTTGTATTTTCTGTTGTCGATATGTTTTTGTAAGGTATTGAGAGACAGTGAAATGAAGTACTGAAGGAAGACGAGGAGATGAGTGGTCCTTACCAATGTATCTATAGTAGCCAAAGCTACAAGGAAATAGGCTTGACGAAGGTATTTTTTTAGGGCAACTGAAAGAGTGAAAGCAAGTGGAGGGTCAGTTGTGCTGAAATGGATAGAGCAAGGCTGTAGAGTAAGGGGGCTTCAGAGGTAGAAAATTTGGGTCATGTTTCTATTTTTACATGCATTAGATGCATGATCTTTTATAATCCCTTAATTTCTCTGAGGCCCAGTTCCTCCTCAGACATAAGTGAGGATAATAGTCAATCCTATTTCATAGGTTTTGAGTTTCAAATACATAAAGTATAAGAACAAAATTCGTGCTCGGTAATTAGTATTTCTTCAGAGCACTGTACCTCTTATGTATGGGCCACATCTGTGCTAGCAGTTGGTGCTAGAAGAAGGAATGAGACAGAAATCCTTGAGCTTCAGGGGAACTTACGGTCTCCGGGGAGAGCTTTCTGTTCATAATTTATACTGTTCATAATACTTCAGGACAGGAAAGGACAAGTTTCCATTGCAGCAAATAGGAAAATAAAACACATGCTTTAGAAGAAAGAGAGCTAGTAAAACAATGCAAAAAAACAAAGAGGGGGGACCTAAATGTTCACTACTCGGAAATAACTGTTGATACCATGACATGATCATCATTCCATGAATCTCCTTGGGAACACATCTAATAGAAAGTTGAATAGAGAGAAACAAATGAACAGGCCCAACTAATTATACTAAAATGCAATTTTATAGATATTTTAAAATATTATTATTATTTTGTTATAGGGTACTCATGCTTGCCAGAAAGAGAGAGAAAGTGAGATAGAGAGAAAATGAGAAATCACCCTCCCCCCCCCTACCTTGAGGGGTAGATAGGCACGCCACAATCCCTTCTCTTCCATTCTCCTCTTGGGACTCTGGGCACACACACATATACCTGGTATGTTTCTGAAGCTGGGTCCAAGACTTGAACTGCAGCCAGCCATATGGGATTCAGTTTAAAGAGTAAAACTAGAATGATATCAACGAAATCGATGAACTCCATTTTCTTTGCCATTGCAAATTATAGTGTAGAACTATTAAACATCTCTCTCGTGTTAAGATACAAGATTATGTAATTGAGGAATTAGAGTCATTTTCCTCAAACTTCATATTTCAAATTTAGTCAACAAAAGTTGATTATGTGTTATGAAATGTGAAGAAATTAGCACTTTTTTCTTTCTCTTTCTTATTTCATAAGAGAAAAAGAAAGAGAGAGAAAAGAGTGAGTGAGACACACACAAATGGGTCTTCATGCCATGATCCTTCCCTAGCCTCAGCCAGTCTCAGGCATGAATGATCACAAGTGTTTGTGCCCAGTATGCACAGGGAGACTCGGGGTCACGAACCCAGAACCCTCCCATGTGGGTCCACCATTGCAGGGCATTGGGTTAATACTAAGCGATTATTTGTCTCTCCCCCTTTCTTTCTTTCTTCTTCTTCTATTTTTTTTTAAAAGCTTATTTTATTTAACTATATTTATCCATTTATATATTTATTTTAATTTGACCACAGAATGATAGGGAGAGGGAGAGAGAGAGAGAGAGACTGCAGGCCTCCCAGCCCAGGACTCGAACCGCCGTCGGCCATGTGGGAGTCTAACACCCTTATCCACCATGCCACCTGCTGTCCCCTCTCTCTCTTTATTTAAAATGACAGAGTTTGTTCACACACACACATGTGAAAGACAGTGGAGAGAGAGAGAGAGAGACTGCACCCTTGACTGGAACCCACCGAGACACAATGCCCTCTTCACAGCCGTCTACCTGCTGGGGTCTGGATGCTCACATGCATGCCCGACATCTCTCCAGGTTGACCCGGGGATCCAACCCCACACTTAGAACATGCGTCCAGCCTGCCACAGCACTGCATCGCTGAGGTGCCACTGTTGCTATTTGGCTCTTTTTTTTTTAAAAAAAAAAAAAAAAGATTTTGCCATACGGTGTGTGCGCTTGCCCCCCAGGAAAGATGGCCACACCACAATCACCTCTCCTCCATTCTCTTCCCAGACTTTTGGGCATGCATGCATAGATGCCCAGCATGCTTTTCTTCCTTTTTTCTTTTCTTTTTGAGAGATTTTTGCTATAGGGTACATGAGCTCGCCAGAGAGACAGAAAGAGACAGAGAGACAGAAAGTGAGAAATCAACCCCTGGGAAGGATATCCATGCTGCAGTCTCTTCTCCTCAAATCTTTTCTCAGGATTTTAGGCATGCATGCACATGTACCTAGCATGAGTTTTAAGCCGCCGGGTCTGAGATTCAAACTGTGTTCGACTACGTGAGAGTCCAGCGACGTAAGCATTAGACCATCCACTGGACCCTCTGGCTCCTTTAAAAAAAAATCATTTAACTTTATTTATTATCTTTTATTTGCCACAGGACACATGTACTCACCAGAGAAAGACAGAGTGAGATAGAAAGCAAGCTGCCAGGTCTGGGCCTTGAACCGTGGTAGGCCATGTGGGAGTCCAGTGCCTCAATCACCACACCACCTGTCAGCTTCATATCTGGCTCCTTTTTGCTACCTTCTTAGACCTTTTTTCTTTCTCTTTCTTATTTCATAAGAGAAAAAGAAAGAGAGAGAAAAGAGTGAGTGAGACACACACAAATGGGTCTTCATGCCATGATCCTTCCCTAGCCTCAGCCAGTCTCAGGCATGAATGATCACAAGTGTTTGTGCCCAGTATGCACAGGGAGACTCGGGGTCACGAACCCAGAACCCTCCCATGTGGGTCCACCATTGCAGGGCATTGGGTTAATACTAAGCGATTATTTGTCTCTCCCCCTTTCTTTCTTTCTTCTTCTTCTATTTTTTTTTAAAAGCTTATTTTATTTAACTATATTTATCCATTTATATATTTATTTTAATTTGACCACAGAATGATAGGGAGAGGGAGAGAGAGAGAGAGAGAATGCAGGCCTCCCAGTCCAGGACTCGAACCGCCGTCGGCCATGTGGGAGTCTAACACCCTTATCCACCATGCCACCTGCTGTCCCCTCTCTCTCTTTATTTAAAATGACAGAGTTTGTTCACACACACACATGTGAAAGACAGTGGAGAGAGAGAGAGAGAGACTGCACCCTTGACTGGAACCCACCGAGACACAATGCCCTCTTCACAGCCGTCTACCTGCTGGGGTCTGGATGCTCACATGCATGCCCGACATCTCTCCAGGTTGACCCGGGGATCCAACCCCACACTTAGAACATGCGTCCAGCCTGCCACAGCACTGCATCGCTGAGGTGCCACTGTTGCTATTTGGCTCTTTTTTTTTTTTAAAAAAAAAAAAAAAAGATTTTGCCATACGGTGTGTGCGCTTGCCCCCCAGGAAAGATGGCCACACCACAATCACCTCTCCTCCATTCTCTTCCCAGACTTTTGGGCATGCATGCATAGATGCCCAGCATGCTTTTCTTCCTTTTTTCTTTTCTTTTTGAGAGATTTTTGCTATAGGGTACATGAGCTCGCCAGAGAGACAGAAAGAGACAGAGAGACAGAAAGTGAGAAATCAACCCCTGGGAAGGATATCCATGCTGCAGTCTCTTCTCCTCAAATCTTTTCTCAGGATTTTAGGCATGCATGCACATGTACCTAGCATGAGTTTTAAGCCGCCGGGTCTGAGATTCAAACTGTGTTCGACTACGTGAGAGTCCAGCGACGTAAGCATTAGACCATCCACTGGACCCTCTGGCTCCTTTAAAAAAAAATCATTTAACTTTATTTATTATCTTTTATTTGCCACAGGACACATGTACTCACCAGAGAAAGACAGAGTGAGATAGAAAGCAAGCTGCCAGGTCTGGGCCTTGAACCGTGGTAGGCCATGTGGGAGTCCAGTGCCTCAATCACCACACCACCTGTCAGCTTCATATCTGGCTCCTTTTTGCTACCTTCTTAGACCTTCTCTCCCTTTACTCTCAATCATTGTTTTAGTTTTATTATTGCACTGCTAAGGCCATGCTTTCTTCTGTAATCATAATTTCCACAGTTCAATTTTAGTTCTATATTGAATGTTCATTGACTTATATATTGTCACTTCTCTATATCAATGCTATCCTGTTGCTCCTTCCCAGTTATTTATAATTTCCTTGTTTTGATTTACCTCTTAGTTGAACAAGAAAACACCCACAAATTCTGTTTGAAGGACCAGAGAGTTGCCAAGGAATCGGAGGACAACTCAAGCAGCCAGGACTTGAAGGGCCTGGAGAGAATGAGTTATAAATGGAAAACCAGCACTCAATCGTCTTCTCACTGTGGCATTGGCTGAGTTCTTAGGCTATAAAGAGTGAGAGGTTAAGATGAATGACATTTTTGGCAAAGGAAAAATACTTGGAGATCATGACCTGACAAGGAGGAGGGGTCTTAGTATGCACTCTAGATCATCAGTTGAAATCTCTAAATAGACACAGCCTAAAAATGAAGGCAAACCAGAGACTGAGCCTTACAAAACCTGTCATGCAGCCAAGTTAGCTCAGTCCAGATTAGATTATAATAAAGTGCCCCTTCACTTCACCTGATGCTCTGGGGTAGGGTAAGCTCTGTATAAAGGAAGATACTATTTTCCAGGGCTTCCATTAAGTTTCCTTTGCATTTGGTGCACGTTTCATATATAATATTAATTCCTTAATACAAAACTGTCATGTGTACCAAAGAACAAGACTTAGAAAACAAATGGTAAAAATAGATTTATAGATGTCTTAGATATACGAATAATCAGGCATAGATGGTACTATAAGATTAATATCTTCAGGAAAATATGTAACATGACGGAGAATTTCACCAGAGAGGAGGCCTCTATTAGATTAAAAAAACATCAAGTGGAAATTCTAACGTTAAACATGTCTCAAAGAGGGAAACAATCTAGAATCTCCCTTAGAGTTTGAGACTTGAATCAGTCTTCCCTTGTCTTTAATAGAAATCCTTTTCATTCCTTTTTAACCTATTTTCTATTTCTTTCTTTCTTTTTTTTTTTCAGAGTGGTCATCCCTATCATTCTCTATGAAAAAGATTATAAATAGACTTCAATATATTTCAAGATAGTCCTACTTCAGTAGCAAGCATGTCAGACTTGTGAAACTTCATCCTGCTATGGGAGAGAAATTAAAAATTTCATATGATGTTATTGAACATATGGTTGAGAGATATTTTCTTTAAAAATCATTTTTAACATTCTCGAAGTAAATGCTAGCATTTTGAAATCTTTGCTTCTCACAAAAGGTCCTTCTTTTGGGAGCCAGCAGTTAGCGTAATGGCTATGTCGTTGGACTCCCACGTAGTCAACTGTGGTTCGCGTCCCAGACCTGGTGGCTTCAAACTCATGCCGGGAGAGGAGAATGGAGGAGAAGGGATTGCGGCGTGGCCATCCCCTCTGGGGGGTGATTTCTCGCTTTCTATCTCTCTGTCTCTCTCTGTCTTTCTGGCGAGCGCATGTGCCCAATAAGAAAAAAAACCTCTCCCGGAAAAAAAAAAAAAAAAAAAAAAAAAAAGAAGAAATAAATAAATAAATAAATAAATAAATTAAAAAAAGGTTCTTCTTTTATTTTTGCAATTCTACATTTCATTATTGTTTTCAGGCCTAAATTCAAATATAAACACTACTAAGGTGATAGGTCCCTATCATATTTAGGGCCTTGGAAAGAAGATAAGGATTACAAATTCAAAATTTGTTGAAAATCATATAAACTTCCTTATGGTTCCTAATAAATTTTTCTATGTAGACACTTAAAAAAAAAAAGGAAGGTTGCTAACATTGTCTAGCTGACTCATAATACTGCTATCTACAGTCATCTCTACAGTATCTTTGACTACTTACTCGTAATTCATTCAGACTGCATTCATTCACTACCTACGATGACACTATCCTTTTGAGAAATACGAAATCTAGTGACCAAAGCAGACATTTTTACTTCCCTTTTTAAAAAGAATGATTTATTTCATTTTATTCACATTATTATTATTTAATTGACCAGAAAGAGAAAGAGGGAAAACAAAAAAGCCAGCCACCACATCCAGCACTTGAACCGTGGGTGGCCACGCGGGAGTCCAGTGGTTTAACCACCATGCCACCTGCTGACTCCAAACATTTTTAACTTCAAACGGGATAACATTGAAGAGTAAGTGTGAGGATTCCCGGCAACAACTGTTATTGAAGCTGAGTCCTAGACTCAGGAAAGGGGTCTTCAGAGGAGTCTTGTCCCAGTGGAAGGAGTGTCGGAGGACTCTGAAGGCAGATAAAAGGCCGCCGAGTGAAAAGGGAAACCGAGGTTGTGCTAAGATGAGAGCAATCCTGTTTGTTTTAGAGGGGAGAGAGATTGTTTTATAGTCTTCATAAAGAATGCTCAGAGGTGACATACAGGTAACCTATATTACATGAGTCACAATTTTACGGATTGTTTTCCAACAAAGCCCACATCAAAGAATGTCTGCAGGAGGGCTTTTGAGTTTACATATGTCTTAATGAACCAAATTTGCCCAACTTTGGTAAATAACGCTTTGAAATAATGTCGTGCTCTATCTATTGCCAGCTGGTACAGGAATCCCATTTTTCTTTCTAATGAGTTTCATGATATATGCAGATTAGACACTAATTTTTAAAATGACAAGTCATGGCAATGGGGAAACGAGACAGAGCATGTTCCAACAACATGACAAAATTGATGGAAATTCTCAGAAACTTGCCGGCAGCAAATTCACAGCCAGAAAGGCCCAGCTCATGTTCACGCCTTGCTGGCTGTCATCCTGTTAGTTAAAGGGAAGGCAGTTTTAGATGAAGGATATGGTTCGACCTAGATCAAAGTGGAAGTGACTCTTGGCACTTGGGTCCTTTTTAAGAAAGAGGAGTTTGATTAGTCACTCGTGAACTTGGCTGACCACAGAGAGGTACATCAATGACTCAGCGAAATAAATTCCCATTTCAAATCATCCAAGAGATATCTCACCAATTAATGGTTTGTGTTAGCTCTGATGTCAACATTTATTTTCCTGGGAACCAGCAGTTAGTGTAATGGCTATGTCGCTGGACTCCCACATAGTCGACCGTGGTTCGCGTCCCGGACCCGGTGGCTTAAAACTCACGCCGGGCATGTGTGCGTGCGTGCCCAAGATCCCGAGAGGAGAATGGAGGAGAAGGGATTGCGGCGTGGCCATCCCCCCTGGGGGGGGGGGTGATTTCTTGTTTCCTGCCTCTATGTCTCTCTCTGTCTGTCTGGCGAGCACACGCACCCTATAGTGAAAACCTCTCCAAAAAAGAAAAAAGAAAAAACAAAAAACATTTATTTTCCTCAGGTACTCAGATTGAGCAAATTCCAGAAAGCATGCCCATTAAGTGTGAGGTTCCAATAAACAACAAATCATTTTTATGAAACAGGACGTGCTTATTTTAAATAATGATTCATTTCTTAAACCTGAAACTCACATTTAGTGAAGTATCCTGTATTTCATCTGGCAAATTTAAATCTCATGTCATTCTCGAAGGGATTTTTGGCAGAGCAGAATAATAAGAAAAAGACTCTCTTAAAACTGTTATCTTGAAAACATGATTAGATCTGGCCCTCAACTAGACTCTTATTTCTCTCATAAGTTATAACAACAAAATATACTCCTCGGCTTCACTATAGCCAGGTTAGGAAAAGACGCGTGCAGGAGGGAGAAGGTGTATCGAATAGCAGAGCTAAGGACAAATATCTTCTCATTTCCATTAAGGTCGTTCTCCCAATTTATCGAGATTTTTGAAAACTTGACCTTCCTCTGGTGTCTGGGTTTACAACCTACAATTTTATAACGTCATTTTCCCTCTTCCTTCTTGGCCTGGATTCTGTGGCTAATCTTTTAAACTTCATTCTCTCTAACATTCCCAACTTGCATACTGTTATGGTCACTCTATTCACTAAGTGGAGCTGGGGAAGGGAAGGGAATATTGGAATTGTCGGGGGAACCTTTTCTGGTTAGACATGTCTGTTCCCCTTTCTTGCATCCCCTAGTCTAGACCCAGTGGGTCTGAGAAAACCAGGCTGTTCATCTCCAGTGTTGATGGGAAGAAAGCCTATTATCTATGACCGGTTTTCCTTTTTGGAAGTTGTTTCCGTGAAGAAGGCACAAATAATCTTACTAGCCAATGTGTACAGATACCCCTGACTTACGATGCGGTTACATCCTGATAAACCCATTCGAAACTGAAAATATCGTAAGTGGAAAATGCATTCAATACCCCTAACCTATTGACTCTCATTGCTTCACCTGTTTTTGTTATTTTTTTTTTTTAAGGCTTTTGCCATAGTGTGCATGTACTCACCGAAGAAAGACAGAGAGACAGTGAGAGAGAAAGTGAGAAATCACTCCCATGTGGGATGGCCACACTGCAATCCCTTCTCCTCCATTCTCCTGGGATTTGGGGCACAAATGCGCACACGTCTAGTATACTTTTCAAGCCACCGGATCCAAGATTTGAACTGTGGTTGACCATTTGGGAGTCCAGCACTTTACCCACCACGCCACCTGCTGGCCCCACCTTAGCCTATTTTAAATGCTTTTGGAACACATTAGTCTACAGTTGGACAAAATCATCTATCGCAAAGACTACTTTGCAGGCAAGTGTTAAATACCTCACATAACTTACTGACTACAATACCCAAAGTGAAAACACGGGATGATTGTATAGGTATGCGAAATCAGTTTCTACCGAATGTGTACAATTTCACGCCATCATAAAGGCAAAACATTGTAAGCTGAACTGTCACAAGTCAGGGACAGCCTGTACTTCTTTATCTGTCTTCCTCCCCTGTGATTACTCCTATTAAAAGGGAATTAGTTTTGTCTTCTATTCTCCGAGGGGCCTTGCTTACCTGGAGGCAGAGCTCCACTCATTCTGCGGTCTCTTCCAGTCCCCTGGGAGAGGGCAGTCCCAGGGTGTGGACTCGCTGGATGCTTGTGAGCCAGCAATGATCCAAAACAGGCTGAAAGTACCCTCGGTGCCTGTGAACTGTCCAAATTCACGGCTGTAGCATAAAAACTGGAGCCTCTCCAGCCCCACGAGGCCCCTATAACAAACCCAGATGTTCATGGATTTAGCTTTGGGCACAGATTTGGAATGAAACTGTATGGCAAATTGTTCCTTGTTTTAATGAGTCAGAATTTCTTTTAAGCCCTTTTTACGGTGAAAATTGTTTGTAAATATTGAAAAAGTTACGACTAAGTTGATCTTGAAGACCATGTATTTTGTTGGTACTTGGTTTTATTTACTCGTGTTTATTGCTTGTAACTGTCCCCGTCTTCATGACATGGGGACACTCGTTTACTCTTAGTTGAGCTAAGAGCAGTTTAAAGTTTAAAAAAACGCCTTTTGTCTATACTTGTCAGACGAGCAAGTTGATCATGTGAAAACACTTAGTTTGAATGCAGAGTATTCTCCTGGGAGGAGCAAAAGGAACGACTGACATTCTCATATTGCAAATCACGGAGTTGCTCATTTGGATACGGACGACCTCATACTGAATCTCGTGACAGTTTGTAGAGGCCCAAAGCATGCCCAGAATCTGGGAGAGGCTGAATCTTTTATTTTTTAAAATTATTTATTTAATTTTATTTGTTATTAATATTGTTATTATTTTAATTGAGAGAGAGAGAGAGAGAAAGTGAGAAAACAAGCCGCCAGGTTCACAATTCAAACCATGGTCAGGTCCAGCGCCCCTATCACCATGTCATCTGCTGGGCCCACGGCTGGTCTTTTTAAATGTGGGACGTTAGCAGAGAAGTTCAGTGGGGACCAGCAGATGGTAAAATGGTTACATCACTGGACTCCCACATAGTCGATAGTGGTTCGAGTCCCAGACCCAGTGGCTTAAAACTCATGCTGGGCACATGTGAGTGCATGCCCCAAATCCTGAGAAGAGAATGAAGGAAAAAGAATTATGGTGTGGTCATTTCCCCGAGGGGTGATTTCTTGCTTTCTGTCTCTCTTTGTCTCTCTGACAAGCGCCTGTGCCCTGTGGCAAAAATCTCTCTAAAAAATTTTTTTAAAAGCAAAAATCTCTAAAGAAAAAAAAAAGTTTAGAGAG